CCATAGGTTCAGCCCTTTAGGCCCATGACAGCACAGCCTTACAGAGACATCCCCTCTGCCACTTACCTTGCCCAGGACAGTGAGCTGCTGAACCAGCAGATGGGCACTTTGTGTCTTGCCAGCTCCACTTTCTCCAGAAATAACAATACACTGCAGAGAACAGAACAAGACTGAGCTCATCACATATCTCTCAGCCTGGCAGAGGAGGTAATTAGGCACCTCATCTATACCTGATCAGAGTTGTATGTCACCATGGACTGGTAGCCTATGTCAGCAACAGCGAAAATGTGAGGAGGGTTGGCAGTCCGTTTGGCTCCAATATACAGTTTGGAATGCTAAGTGTAAGAAAAATAAAAACATTATCACTGTTCTTTAAAAACTTTTTTTTAGAATTGAAGTTTGGCTTTATTTTTAGGTTAGTGCACAGCATGCTGAGGTTTCCAGCAGTGATGTTTTCTGAAGGAGCTGTTACTGCACTCACTATACCATGAATCTGTATGCACTTAGGACTATAAGAAATGCTAAAAAAAAGAAGGGCAATTTTCTATAATTTCAGTCCTGATTACACTATGAAACTCAATTTATTATGAGAAAATTTATTTTTGTCAGACATCATATTTCCAACTTATTTAAATTTATTTGTGCTTCCTTTCCTATTAGCATCTCTGCATGATATTGATGTTAAAACTTGAGATCTTTTCTGTACCTGTAGTATCCGATAATTAATAACCCCAAATTATTTTATGATCCGATTTTAATATCTTTCCCCTTTTGTATAATAAGAAGACAAATTCCCTTTTGTATAATGAGGAGACAGATTCACAAAAGTTAACATTTTCCACAATTGCTTTGTGCATGATCTACACTGTAGGCATAAAGACACTAGAAATTAGTTCTTTTGGAATTTCTCCTTTCTGTGCTGAAATTCATCAAGTGTTAAGAATGAGTGTCAATGTACACTTGAAAGAACATCTCTACTGGTAATTCTGTTTTTCAGAATAAGCTAAAATAAATCTCAAAAATGGTCTTACTTTATACTTAACACAAATATTTATATTTTACTGGAAATTGGTGCTAGGTTAAAATAATGAAACCTAATATAATTTTCATACCTGTGAAGAATAAATATCTATGTTCCGAAATGGATTGACAGCGATGAGAATATCCCCAACATAAGTGTAGATCTGGTCCTTGGCATAACCCTTCTGCAGCTGTTCTGTTACTGTATTCTGATGGAGAAAGAAAAGGAACAATGAATCACATGGACAAAAAAAAATATTAGGAAAACGTATAAAATATTTTTATAGTTTCAGTGAGGGAGGACGGGGAGGGAAGGTACTTATAGTCAGGAGTACAATGGATCATGATCAAAAGTAAGCAATACTTTCAAACACACTGACATTTCTAATTTTATATGTCCAAACTCACTTTGAACAATATATACTTTACTAGAGCCTCAAGTGGCTCTAGAAAAAGGAGTTAATAAGTAGTGCTTTCATTCAGTTCATCAGAGGTTTCCATGAGACAGCCTTGTCTACATTTCTACTACTGAAGTTTCATGTAATTTATCAAGAATCATTTGACTGAGTCCATAACTGCCATTACTGATATGAGCTGCTCTAACATTACTCTGTTATGCTACAACACAGATG